GGGGGGGGGGAGCAATGAGGGTATTGAAAGAGAATAGTGAGTTGGTTAATCTCACTAGAAGAAGGGTATAGTCATTAAAAGGGATCAACAGCATAGACGTACGATTATTATTAAGCTTTTTTTTTAGGGCTTGTTGAGGAGAGGGGGGGGGGGGGGAGAAAGAGAGAGATTTGAATGGAGTGGCTCGAAAGTGGTTTGAAAATAGGAACGTTGAGAGGGTAGTAATGATGATTGCTGAGGTGGGTGCATGAGTTTAATAAAAGACAAGTAATAAAATCAGCCTGGCTTTGCCATCTGCATTTGCTACAGGTTTAATAATTTGCATATAAAATTTGAGATCTCAAAATTGCATCTCGGATGAGGACGGATCTTTTAGATGAATGAGTCTCATTAAAAAAAAAAACGTAATGAGACCCACCAATTTAAGGGTTTTTATTGATTTAGAATCCCAAATTTAAGATCTCTAGCATTGCTTAATACTACCGTAGTTTGTTTTTGCTTGTTGCTCAAATTATCTGGTCTTGAATTTCAATTTTGACAATTCTTTTGAATTAGACCATGAGAATTTTATCCATCATGAAGAATTTAGTCTAAGCATGGATTGTTTGTTTTTGACAGGACCTGAAGGAGAATTAGTCGAGGTGCGCGTAAATTGATTCGAACATCTTTAATTGTTGAACCAAAAATAAAATGTTTACTTGGTAATATTATTGTTTCCAATTTTTTCACACAACAGGAATTGATGAATTCATAATTATTTAATATGAATAGAACCCACTTATCGAAAAATAGTGAATGTGACAATCATTTATTTTATGTAGAAATTTTAGAGTCTAAAAAATGGTAAGAGTAGTGTTATTTAATTTCAGCCAATATACAAAACAAATATAGGGGATTATATTAAAAAAAAAAATTACACTTAAAAGCAACGTATAACACAAAATAATTTGATAAAATAAATTCCAAAAATACAATTGTTGGATAATATCAATCTGTATACACAATTTGTATAATCAAAATAGTAAAAAATACAAATTTTTATTTTTAAAAAAATGACTTACACCACAGTCTTTCATAATATAAACCTCTCCAAAATGCTCTTCCACTCCCGAGGATAATTCGTAAAACTCTTTTTTTATAGATAACTGAATGGAGTATCGAAAATATTTTTCTTTTTTATTTTTTGAATTGAAAAATATTTCACTTGATTTAGAAAATTAAAATAAGTGGGACTTATTTACTCATTATTTAAACACGCAATAGTTCCCAAACTCAAATTATTATTTCTCGATCTCTTTATATTAAAAAACACAAATTTTACACTACTTGCATTAATTCAAAAATTAAAGTTACATAACACCAAAATGGAAAAGCATAAACGGAAAAAAAAATAGCTTTCATGAAATGCTAAAATCAATTGTATTACTCTAGTTCATCAATAATGAATTTAAAAATTGTCACTGTATAATCTAAAAGACAAATCCAAATACTAAAGAGAATAAATTAGTTACCATAGAAAAAATAAATGAATTAAGGTATGCATAATTTGAAGAAGATATGTGTACAATATGATGGGAGATTTGCCTATGAATTTTGGGGTTAATATGAAACTCAAGGAGCCGTGAATGAAATGTGAAAATGGAAAAGCATTAATTTGGTGTAATTAAAAATGGAAAGTGTATTAAGCGGGAAAACAAATTTTGTTTGTTAGTGTAATCTGTCGTCGAATCAATATATTTTGAGTTGATCTGAGCTACAAAAAATAAAAGATAAGATAGACATTTGAATATAATTTATCTTTTGCTCAAAATTGATTTAAGCCACGGAAAATTCAAGATAAGTTTTAGGATTCAAACTCAACTTTACTTTTATTATATATATATGATTAAAATGTAGCATCTCATGTAGTGAATACTAAGCCCAACTTTTTTTTTAGGGTAAATTTTATTTTCACGCCATATAAATAAGTCCAACTTCAATGACACACCCTCCTATCAAATTTTTTCATTATCTAGTAACGGATCCAACAAAAAAATTTATTTTACCAATTTACTCCCGACCTCTACACTATTTTAGATATTAAGTTTCTTTACATACAAACATATACATGTATACATACATATACATATATATATAACACAAATTATTTTTCTCTTTGAAATAAAATATAATAGTATAACATTGCTAGATTTAGAAGTTGCCTTTGGAAGTAAAATTTTCTCCAAATAAAATATAAACTTTTAGTATACGCCATTAGCTTTTTTTTTTTTTCCCTTCCCAAAGATCCATGGTTCCAATGTCCTATATTAAATGACTTCCATGGAATTTTATTTAAACTTGCATAGTATACTAATGCATTGGGGGTACATGCATGCACTTAATGTTTACCCCGATTCAATTATTACTAGTTGTGGTGTGTTTTTTTGTGTGTGTGATTTGGTTAGACAGTTAGATAAATATTCAAGTCAGTTTATGCATATTTCGATTAATTTTTTTTTTTGTCTTAAGAAATTGTCAAGATTCAAACTTAGGACATTTGAATTTACAGATCGTTCTTATTATCACTCGAGTTATCCTATGATTTATTGGTGCGGTTAAAAGCAAAATATTTAAATGTTCTTTTCATAAGAGTAGGGTGACTTCAACCCTCTCAATTATGCCAACCATCATTGTTTTTTTTTTTTTTGTATTACACCATCAATTATGCAATTAGTTTCGTATTACCTAATTTTTAATTTTTGTTATAGAATTAATGAAAAAATACTTATGTTCTAATTATTTGGGGTTGATTATATGAGTCTATTTTCGTCATTCATTCCGGTCATGCGTTATACGCTTATTTGAATTAAGTATTTTTATATATTTACTTATTATTTTGTTTAATGTTACTTTTGGTCTACCCCTCCTCTTAGTACCATTAAAAAAATTCTATCATTTTTTTTAATTGGTACATCTATCGGCCTTCGTTAAACATAACTAAATCATCTTAATATATTCTTTCTCAATTTTTGAGTTTTGTGATTTGGACAATATGAAAATAATTCATATAGTTGAGGGAGCAATACAAATCATAAATTTTAATATTATATGAAAGAAAAAAATAAAAAAAGTTACAACCATAAATTTTATATTGATATATTTAGAATTATTGATCATAAAATAAAAAATTATATAATAAAAATCCTCTCCAGATCCACACTATAAATAGATAAAAAAAAATACGTTACCGAAAAATAATTTTTTAATATCAAATCAAAAATCACTTGAAAAATAGAAGAGAAAAATAAACTAAAAATTTCTGAGGAAAAATGAAAAAGAACAATTGTGACGTCATTTGTTCCTCATCCCTTCCCAAAATATCTTTCTCCCAATCACAACCCTCCAAACCCCAAAAAATGATCTGAACCATCCAATCCAAACTAATCTCAATCGTCATTCGAGGTACTTTCCATTTTTACCCACCCTAACTCATTCTTATTCTCGCTGGTTGACGCCTCTCTCTGTCTCTCCAAACCCAGTCGGCGTCTTCCTCACACAGTTCCTCAACTCTGTCCAAATCTCCACTCTCTTTTTTTCATTTAGACAAAGAGAGAGATAGACCATAGATACAATTACACAAAAAGAGAGAGAAATCTATGGATTCAGATCAGGGAAAGCTATTCATTGGAGGGATTTCTTGGGAAACCTCGGAGGATAAGCTGACGGACTATTTTGGGAACTACGGTGAGGTCTTGCAGGCTGTGGTGATGAAAGATAAGATCTCTGGGAGACCGAGAGGTTTTGGTTTTGTGGTCTTTGCAGATCCATCGGTTCTCGATCGGGTTCTTCAGGACACGCACAACATAGATGGTCGGACGGTGAGATTTAGACTTTACTTCTAGCACTAGTTGTGGTTTTATGCATTTTTAGTAACTGGGTTTTTGTTTTATTGATTTGATTTTTTGTTGTTGTTAATTGTCCTGTTATGTATCTCCATACGGGTAGCATTTAGACCATGCTTATTTTACCCGATGTGGCTTTTGTAAATTATTTGTACTGGTTTTTTGTTCCTTTGATGTGATTTTTGTTGACTGTTTATGGGTTAATGTTGTGCACTTTTGTCTAACTTGTTTTGTTGCGACTGTGGCTGATTGTTATATTGATTTGATTTTTCTGGTGGTTGTTTACGGGTTAGTTCATATTGAGCAAATATGTCTTAGATTGTTTTGTCGTGCTAATTGGTTTTTTGTTATATTCATGTGATTTTTGGTGATTTTCACAGAGTCAATTCATATTATAACTCACATATTGGCAGATTTGTGTTGTAGCACTTATGGGTTTTTTTTTAAAAATATATATTAGGTTTTGTTGGGTATGAGCACCAGAAGTGTTTTATTTGTGAATTTTTGGTTGAGGGGTTTAGTCATATTGTTATGATGTTTGGTGGTGGTTAATGTTGAGCTGAGACATATCTTAGATTCAGACCTCATTTGTAGCAGTGAATCTCTTTATTGTTCACTTAGCTTCTGGGTTTTTGCTTTATGCGTGTGATTTTTGGTGTTTAGTAATTGGGTCAGTTTTTATTTATCAACATATTGGGGGGTAGACCTTGGTTGTAGCATAGATGTCAATCTAGTCTCTGGGCATTGGCTTGTTTCATGTGATTTTTGGTGGTTGCTTGTTGGTTTATGCTTCTTCCATGTCTATAGTGAGTTTTTCTTTTTCATGTTGGTTTTAGTCATTTATCCCATTATTTTTGGTAATTCTAAGGTGTAAAGTTCTGGTGATATATATGCTGTGATTTTCAAAGATTTTTTTTATGTAAGGCTGTGAATAATATAATGGATGGATGTATGCTGTCAAAAACTGCAGAATAGAAAAAGGTGATGATGTCAGTATCATTTGCATTCATGAGATGATATTTTTCCATCGACTGCCAACCCCTTTCTACCTCTGCGTTGTATTTTTTTGGGTGGTTGGACAGACTAGGCATTGTTAGTCCTTGCCTGAGTTCCATAGTGATCTGAGTTGTCACTAGGCCAGGAAGTGGATTTAAGGCAGCTTTATGCTAAGTAGTGTTCACAAGTAGATGTGTATGATTTCTACCAGTGTGGAATAGACGACTCTGTTGGTCCGTTTATTGTGGTTGGGTTTAGTGACACATTGGGGAAGTGTATCAGTTTTGTCCTAGATATATCAACAAATTCAGTAATTCTTGTGAATTTACTATGGATTCAAAGTTGTGTTGAACTTTGGATCATTATGTTAGCTGATTTGTGTATTTAGATCGTACATGGCCTGATTACTTCTCTGCATGCACCAAGCACCAATATTTATGCTAATAAGCATTTGTTTTACTTTTGATGTTGACTTGGGGGCACCTTGTGTGTGTGTGCTGGGTGCCTGCACTCATGTTTGCCTCCTAGATACATGATATTAATTTCCAGAAATCAGGTTCATCTATGATTCACAAGTGAAGTATCTGCAATATCTCACTTTCCTTTTATATATTTGGAGTGACAGAGATGCTTGAGCAGACTTTTACTGGTTGCTCCTGTGTAATTCTAGAGCAGTATAACCACCAGCTTTTGTTTTCCAGGTTGAGGTTAAGAGGGCCTTATCAAGGGAGGAACAACAGACCTCTAAAACTTCAAACTTCAATACTGCTAGAAACCATGGAGGTAGTGGAAATATCAGGACGAAGAAGATATTTGTTGGCGGATTGCCTGCCACTTTGACTGAGGAAGGGTTTCGTCAGTATTTTGAAGCTTATGGTGAGGTAGTTGATGTAGTAGTCATGTATGACCAGCATACCAACCGACCTCGTGGTTTTGGATTTATTTCCTTTGACTCTGAAGATGCTGTTGATAGGGTTTTACACAAAACGTTTCATGATATAAATGGCAAGCAAGTGGAAGTGAAGCGCGCTCTTCCTAAGGATTCCCACTCTGGTGGGGGTAGTCGATCAATGGGTGGTGGTGGTGGAAGTTATCAAGGATATGGTGCTTCTGGTGGCAATTCAAGTTCTTATGATGGTCGAATGGATTCCAATAAGTACAACATGCAGTCTCAAAATACTGGAGGTGGGTTTCCATCGTATGGTTCTTCTGGGTATAGCACTCCTGGTTATGGATATGCTCCTGCTAACAACGGGGTTGGTTATGGTGGCTATGGAAATTATGCTGGTGCCAATCCTGGGTATGGTGGCCCTGCTGGTGTAGCCTATGGAAACCCCAATGTCCCTAATGCTGCTTATGGAAGCGGTCCACCAGGTGCACAAACATCATGGAACTCTCAGGCTCCCTCTGGATTTGGTAGTGCAGGCTATGGGAATAGTCCTTGGGGTGCTCATAACGCCAGCAGTGGTGGTCCTGGTAGTGGTGCACCTGTTTCAGCATCTACTGGTCAGTCTCCAAGTGGAGCTACTGGGTATGGGAATCAAGGATATGGTTATGGTGGGTATGGTGGAAGTGATGGGTCTTATGGAAACCCAGCCGCATATGGAGGGCGTGCCCAGAATACCAATGCTTCTGCTGGAGGTGGTGCTGGGGGAGAGCTACAAGCAAGTGCCGGAGGCTATATGGGAGGTAGCTATGGTGATGCCACTGGGAATTCAGGGTATGGAAATCAAGGATGGAGATCTGACCCCTCACAAGCCTCTGGAAATTATGGGGCTCAGGCAAATGGTCCTCATGGTGGACAAGTCGGATATGGAGGTGGGTATGGTGGTACTCCCATCCGACAGGCTCAACCACAGTGATCTTGATGACTTGATCCCCTCTGGGATTTCAGCTTTGTTTTGAGGACATGCAGTTGATGCTTCCTCAGAACAATGGGGCTCTTGCAGGATTTCATGCGTACAGCGGGACTGGTTGGATTGCTTGAATCCCAGTAGTTTGCAGTATTTATTGCTTGAATCCCAGTAGTATGCAGTATCTATTTTGGTAGTCAGTAATAAGTAACCTTTTGAAGAGTAGAGTTGCCTCTGCTTTACTGTTTGCTATGAGTGTTGTTTCTAAATTCAGCTTGCTTGTGTCTACTAATTGATCTGGAGTGTTTTGAGATCGTACTGTTTTAGATATGGTAGCTTAGATCGAACTTTAATATGTTAATTTAGTTTCTTTTTGAGTGTTTTGGTAATGATGTGAAATTAACCTTAATCTTTGGCCGCCTGTAGCAGGACTCAGATAGTATTGGAAGCTTCATGTTGGTATCTATTTTTGATGACAACAATCAGTTTGTTGCTCTTCACTTTTTTCTTCAGTATATAGTATGATGTAGTAATCTGTACATGTAGTGGGGCTTCTTTCTAATACGAGCGGAGCTGTAGGACAGTTGGGTTGATCGGTTCGTTATGCATAGCGATAAACATAGCGGTAGCAGTTCCTAATGTGTAGCGATAATCGTAGTGGTAGTTGAACTTTGACAACAGCATAATCATTTCCTCCTGTATTTGCCCTTGTGTTGTACAGGAGAGATGCTTGAGTTCTAAGTGAAGTATCCACACACACTGGGCTACACAACAAGCTTCATGCTGAGGATTATGTGGAATGGAACTTAAGAGGTGCGGGTTGGACAAGTTTACATCATGCATTAGCCTGAGACTGGTCAAAGCTGAAGCCAGGCCATGCTGATGCTGTCAAACTGCAATGTTATTTATTATCTTCACTAAGGTTGTGGTGGGATGTGTTTTCAAGCCGAACAGCCTGTGGTACGTCAATTAGAGCAGTTTGACAAAATTTCACCTCATACTATCAATATAACCTAGTTATTTAGGCTGCTTAACAGTTTTTCGAAGTAGAGTTGAATATTTGATCCATAAGTTATTAATGGTCTAAGTACACTGTCAAAAGTACCATTATATAGTCCCCTTTACCTTGGAAATATTTTCCAAATTTCAGGGTGTACGGAGAAATGACTTCCTGTTGTATACATATAAGAAGCTTGTCGGGAAATGGGCCAAAGTGTACATTGTCTTCGCTCCTCTATAACTGCCCATTGTCTTCGCTCCTCTATAACTGCCCATTGTCTTATGATAACAAATGATAATTAGTTCTTGTTCTTGTTATTTGCACTCTAATGCATCTGCTTGTTGGATACAGAGCATAGGAATTTGACTTTTTCCCAAGCAACTAGTTGGGATATATGATTTCATAAGAGCTCAATTGCTTGCTGCTATGGGTTGATTACATGTCTTCCACTTTTTATACGGTGCTTGGCATTTTTTGCTCTCTACGTGCAAAATCATGTTTGGATGGTTTCTTTGGTTTCCCAGCAAAGATTAGAATTGAATGTATTGTGGGTATTTCATTGTGTCTCAATGTAAATGTTGCCCCCAGGGAAATTCTTGTTGTGAGTTTTGATGGTGTATTGACAGTGAAACCAACTTAGATAGCCCTATGGAAGGGCATCGTTGCACCCAGTAGCTATGGGGTTTGAGTCTGTGGGAGTGTGCCTAATGTGTTCGTTGAAAGGAGAGATTGTTGGCATCTCCTCTGACAGGGACGAGAACAGCCTGGGGTCTTACATGTTACCAATCACACATCCATTTATGGTGGCCTCATGGTGCTTAAGGAATTATGTTAATGTCGGCGGGGGCATTTTGAATTGTGTACCAACAGCTAGATTATAGATGGTTTCTTTCTGTTTCTTGTTCGACCAGAGGCAGAAGAGGGAACATCCTACCAGACCCATGTTTTTGGGTTAAAAATTGTGGCATTCACTATTTCTCGCCTTTATATGTCTGCCTTGGCAGGTGACAATGCTAAACGCTACTTGGCTCACATTCCCCGTAAGTAACTTAGTAAGAGTGACAATCGTGTTGTGTCGAGTACTAGTTAATCTTAATTTTATTTAGTTAATTTTAACTCAATTTGTTTAATTAATTGTGTAGTGTTGATATATTTATTTTTATGTCGTGTTTGTGTTTGACTTATATTATTCGTAAAAAAAATTTAGTTGCCGTTTGGTAGCTCGAAGTTTTTGTTTTTTTTTGTTTTTGTTTTTTTTTTTAATTTTTGTTAAAATTAAAAATAAAAACACATTTGGTTTGTGTTTTTGTTTTTTTCTTAATCAATTTGTTTTGAAAACGAGTGAATATTGGAAAAAAGAAAAATAATGGGCTGTTTGATTTGCGTTTTGGAAAATAGTATCTGAAAATAATTTTTGAGAAAAGTTTTAAAAAAATGTTTTTAAAAATTTTTAATTTACAAAATTTGTTTGGTTATATATTTTTGAAAATAATTTTAAAGAACAAAAATTATAAAATTTGTTTGAACAATAATTTATAATTTCCATCGGTCTTCAACTCTTTCTCTCTCTTTCACTGTGCATTAAGACCACCATCACCATTGTCTCTTGAACTTTCACTTGCATTAAGATTACAATCACCATCTACCCAAAATTCACAATCACCACCTAAAATTCACAACCACCTCTGAAATCGAAAACTACCCAAAAGCCCCACCACCATCGAAATCGAAAATCACCCAAAATCCATAACCACCACAAACCCACAATTACCCAAAATCCACAACCACCACTCAAAACGTCAAAAAAATTAGATCATATAAAAAAAAAATCAGATCTATGTTTGATAAAAAAAAATTAGATCTATGTTTGATAAAAAAATATCAAATCTGTGTCAATATTCTAATTCTTTACGGTGGTTACAATATATTTATATACTGTCATTGATATAAAATAAAAAATCAAATTTGTGTTTTCGTCGATTGAACCAGATCTGAACCAATCGTTGGAGAACTCGCAGTGGATCTAGTTGTCGGAGAGCTCCAGTGTCTGTGTGTGTGTTTTGTCAAAGAAGATGTAGTCGCCAGAGAAGACGCAGTCACCAAAGAAGACTTCCGTCTGAGAGAGTCTGTGGAGAGAGAGAGAAAGATGGAGAGAGTGATGAGATCTGAGAGGACAAAGGCAAAAGAAAAAAAAAAGCTTTTATATTGTGGCTTGTTTTTGCTTCTAAAAGAACTCGAAAAGGGGACCTCATTAAAGAGTAAACCATCTCCGTGTTTTCAAAATTTTGGCAAAAAAGCTTAAAAACAAGTTGGGCTTGTTTTCAAGTTTTATGCTCCAATTCTCTATTTTTTTCTGAAATTTGGAGAACAAAATCACAAACTAGACAAGTTTTGAAATTTTTTTGAGATTTAAGAACAAAAAACAGTTTTCAAGAATCCAACCAAACATAATCAATGTTTTTGAAAATACAGAAAAACGAAAACACGCGGGGTTGGGGAGGCTTTTAATGAGGTTCAGCCTTCGACTTTTATTAGAAGCAAAAAAAAAGGACATTCTTGTGGCACTTATATAAAGCAAAAAAAAAGTTCTTTTATCTCTCTCTCTCGCTTTCGCCTGTGGGTTTGCGACTGTGGTCTGTGGCGAAGCTTGCAGGTGCGTGGGATCCAAATCGACGAAGCATTGGTGAAGCTCTCTCCGGCGAAGCTCTCTCCGGCAAAGCTCTCAACATTTTCCGACAGCGAAGGTCACCACTTTCTTCTTAATCGGCCGTTTTATTTGTGCAGATCTAGGTATTTTTCTTCTTTTCTATTTTATTTTGTTGTTGATTTCAACATCTGTGTTTGTGTATGGATCTTTTTGTGTGTGTATCAGTGGTGGTGGATTGGTATTGGTGGTGGTTTTGGGTCGGTTTGGGTGGTGGGTTTTGGGGATGTTACAGCCGATTTTTCGAGCCTACTGTGGTGGGTTTTGGGTTTGTGTGTGTATCGGTGGTGGTGGATTGGTGTTGGTGGTGGTTTTGGGTGGGTTGAGTGGTGGGTTTCGGAGCTATTGCAGGGCTGCTGTTATGGGTTTTGGGTTTGTGTGTGTGTCGGTGGTGGTGGACTGGTATTGCTGTGGTGGTGGCTAAACAGGGGTGCTCGTCTTGCTGGGTTTTTGAAGGTTCAAGCTTTGATGCTGCCTTGGTGGTGGTGGCGGTGGTGGCTGGGTGGTGGTGGGTTTCTGGTGCTTTGGTGGTGGTGATGCTGGCTGGGTGAAGTGGGTTTTCATTGATTTGGGTGGAGATGTATTTGTGATTAAAAAAAATTAATCAAAATAACCACAATAAATTATGAAAACGCTATTATAATACCAAACATATTTTTTATTTTTATTTTTATAATATTTTAAATATAAATGACTGTCAAACATGTTTTATATTTTTAATTTTTTTCACAGAAAAAACAAAAACTTGTTCTAGTTTTTTTTTTTAAAAAAAATATAAAAACGAAAATGTTACCAAACTCACCCTAATCTTCAATTTTATGTTTAAAATTTTATTATTAATTAATTAAATATATGTTCACATTTTTTAAAAAAAATAAAAATTAACTTAATAAATATAATAATAAAAATGAGTAAAAATATTTTTTTTTGTATAATAATTTGATCACTATTGGATAAATATAATAAAAGATTAATATTTTATTCTTATAATATTACTCTGGGTTAATTTCGTTTTATTTATGTTTGGCATTAATTCAACTTATTTACTATTAGTGTTAACCGATCGTGTTATATATGAGTTTGTGTCGGAAAATGATCAATCTTAATTTGTTAATTTCGTGTCGATGAATAGTATTTTTGTGTTATGTAACATATGGTATGTATTTAAGTTATGAAAGATCCGCAAAGAAAAGAATTGGAAGAGATCTAAATCCTACATTTGTCTCCCACTGTCTTCATTTACCCCAAAATCAAACATTTAACATAAACAAGCCTTACTCAATTAGTTTTTGCAGATCTGATTGATCAAAAATCTGAACCAAAAGCGTAAAAAATGTAGAACTATAACTAAAATTTGTCACAAATGCATGGTCCCAGGCCTTTCTTATTCTTTGGGTAATGTAATTCAAGTACTGTTGGATACAAATGAACAAGCCAGTGACAATGTGACCTGGTATGAATGAGCTTAAGCAGACCCTGCAGTCAAAAAACTGAAGGAAAATGTTTGATCTTTTCATGGAGGACATGAACAAGAAGCTGAAGGTGCTCCCTTGTATGGATTTCCAAATGCAGTGACATTGCCAGGCCTTGAGAACAAGACCTATATCGAGGAAATGCAAGTAAAATAGTGAGTCGTAGGAAAGGTTGATGGAAGTAAGTAAACAGGGTTGCAACATTCATCAGGAATGGCTACTAGCATGTAGGCCTTGTTTGATTTAGATGAACAAACAATGAAAAACAAATTGTTACTTGAGCAGTCTGTTTATCTTGACAAAGGTGTAATAGGAACAAGTTTGGTGGTTGGTTACCTGATAATTTCCAAGTGTTAGAGACTTGAAACCAGCTGCACAATAATCAAAATAGTACTCCCATGTCCGGATGAACATTTCGTTGAATCCCAACCCAAGAATTTTGCTACGAACACAAATTGATGCCCACATCAAAACCAATCAGTTATTCAGAACTCGAACCATAAATTGTTTTGTAATGTTGAACATATCATACAGTTATCAACATCTTTGTTGATTACATGAAAGTAATTACATGTCCATTTCTCTTACCTTCGATTCTCCATGAAGTTTTTCCTCCAACATCTGAGTGTCTGGTAGTAATGGATTCCTATGTTTTCCAGGTGTTCCACACTGCACTTAAAGCAGTTTATTACATTTTTTGGAAGCGAGAGATTTCAAGAAAACAACAATCAACTGTATTATGATGCGAATAATTTAGCTTTTACCAGAGTCTGGATGCTGCAGCCATGGCTGATGTAATTCTACTGAGGGAAGGCAGGCATCCACCAGGGAATATGTATTCTTTTATGAAGTCTGAGCTTCGCCTATACTCATCATACCGCTCATCTGGTATTGATATGAACTAAAAGAAAATCAAACGCACTTTTGTTAGAAAAATAAGACAAGGGCATCAACGATGTATTTAGTTTTATTTTCACACTTATCTGTGTATCATCACCTGTAGAACAAGTAGTCCTTTCTCTGCCAGTACTGATTCACAGCAATTAAAAAACTCCTCCATATATTCATGGCCAACAGCTTCAATCATCTCACTGGAAAAGAACATTGATTAGATCATCATATTTAATTCTTGTTATGATGTGATATAAAATTGGGCAATGAAAGAAGCTCACCAGGATATAATTCTGTCGTATTTGTAGGTATCTGGCAGTTGGCGATAGTCGCAGAGAAGAAACCTTATGTGGTCCTGAGAGTGAAGCAGACTTAGAAATCAAGAGAGCGGGTTTGAAAGAGGATTCATGTGAGTGAAGGCTTCAATTTAAAGTGCAACTACTTCATTAAGTTATTTTTCGTATCAAACTAAAGAGCCAGAGATTTGTTTGAGAGCTTAACATAGTAACATACAATGCTGTACCATTCTCTAATAGCTTCTTTGTTGGAAACTGGTTGTTTAACATCGCATTAGAATTACTTACGGTAAACTGAGTTCTAGTCTTGCCATTTTTATTTATTCCAAACATCATATTTAAGCAGCTTAAGCTTTTGGTGCGATGGATTGTCTGCATTTAAGTATTTGCATAATATTATGCCATTCTTTTTCTATCTAGACACTGATGAAGGCAATTGATGGCACTCTATTCCACAATTCACTGGTTTTCTGATGCCATTAGTCAAGCGATATGGTTCTTGCCTTGTTTTCTCCACATGATGTCGAAACATTTTTAGAAACCACGAGTATCAGATACTTATGCTTATTGTATTTGCGTACTCTTTAAGAACTGCTTAGAATTACGTACCTGGAGGCCAGCTTCCTTTACTTTCATTTCTGCGTAACTAAGTTGCTCCTTAGAGAGGGTGATGCCAGTGTACTTGCATCCAGTTTGTTTAACAACTTCAATAGCTAAACTTCCCCAACCGCACCCTATCTCAAGAATTTTATGGTCCTCACATATTCTTGCCTAAATCATCAAAACGAAATCCTTAGAGAGGGTGATGCCAGTGTACTTGCATCCAGTTTGTTTAACAACTTCAATAGCTAAACTTCCCCAACCGCACCCTATCTCAAGAATTTTATGGTCCTCACATATTCTTGCCTAAATCATCAAAACGAAATCCTTAGAGAGGGTGATGCCAGTGTACTTGCATCCAGTTTGTTTAACAACTTCAATAGCTAAACTTCCCCAACCGCACCCTATCTCAAGAATTTTATGGTCCTCACATATTCTTGCCTAAATCATCAAAACGAAATCCTTAGAGAGGGTGATGCCAGTGTACTTGCATCCAGTTTGTTTAACAACTTCAATAGCTAAACTTCCCCAACCGCACCCTATCTCAAGAATTTTATGGTCCTCACATATTCTTGCCTAAATCATCAAAACGAAATCCTTAGAGAGGGTGATGCCAGTGTACTTGCATCCAGTTTGTTTAACAACTTCAATAGCTAAACTTCCCCAACCGCACCCTATCTCAAGAATTTTATGGTCCTCACATATTCTTGCCTAAATCATCAAAACGAAAAAAGTTGGAAGGAAATCCCTCAGTAACTCACTTGTGTTTTAGAGGACTAAATACAAAGGCCTCACCTTTTCAATCAAAAGATTAATTTTCCTGATCTGCGCGACTTTCAAATCTTCACTTTCCGTCTATCAAAAGTATGACAGAAAGAGGAGATATTAGCAGAACACAAATTTTAAGTACACTCTCTACGGATAAAGTAGTCTCAAGTTTGAAACACTGACCTTAAATACCGCACATGAGTATGTCATCGTGTCATCCAAGAACAGAGCAAAGAGGTCGTTACTCTAGCATTTCAATGACAAGGACAAATTATCAGCTAACTACTTGCATGTCCTTAAGTGGAGGCAATAATGTCATGGCTAACAGTAAAAAAGCTATTATGAACTTCTTCTGGCAAGTATTTTTGAACTTGTTCAAAGACAAAATAAATTTCATCAACATGAGGATATCATATACCAGGTCATAATGACGAGAAATGTTCCTGCGCGCTTGGGTGAGAGTATTTTGCCTTGAAACGTGGTGAAAGAAATACTTTGCAGATGCTATTGCAGCTGGGAACAGCAATGGTGTCCACCAGCCCCTAACGCCAAAAGGGTGGATACTTAGGAACTGAAGTCATGAAGATTAGTACATGTTGAATCATGTTATAGCCAGTAAAACCTATAAAATCTTACCTTTTACTGTTAAAATTTGAGACAGAAGCTCTTGAATCTCTGTTGGCAATGAAAATCTGCAGAATAAAATTCAGGAAGACAAGCACCAAAAGAAATTACTAGAAATTTCACCCAGATGATCAATATTCTTACCATGAAGAGATTAAGAAGACCTTCATTTTTATCAACAAATGAAAAATCGCTATTGATATAGGCATCTGCGAGGCCTAAATCAGCTTGTGTAGCAACCTATCAAAAGAATTTCAAGTTGAAAGTTTATGAATCACACAAATCTGGAAGAAAGAATCCATGTGACTTGAACTCTAGTAAACGAAATGACAAATATAAATGCAGAGTATGTACCTTCCAATAAAACTGGGGACTGTGAACCTTTATCGAAACTTTTAGAAAATTTTTCTTTTTGGTTCCTTCAAAAGTAAAAATTGTACCTCCTTCTTCCAATAAACTATGTCGCCAAAAAAAAAAAAATTAAAATCAATCAGTTCTCTATTAAGTTTTCCATTCAGTTTCTGGATACAATCTGAAAATACAGAAGAGTACAAAACTTAAGAAACTATATCACTACGCACACAACACCCATATCCGGCAGAGATATACACACAGAACATGCAGTTTCTCATGAGGATTTTTTTCAATAAGTTTGGCATTTGATTAAACTCACATCAGATTTCCAACAGAGATATAACGTTCGAGGAACCTAGTAACAAAAAGCCGTGCCCCTGTTTCTATCAATGAAGGTACCATATGTTTGGGGTCGTTCAGAGCCACAAAATTCTTTTGAAGTATACCATGTGCAGCAATCATACCCGCCTGCAATAAATCACTCACTTGTTAGCCACATAACAATGACTTCAGAACTATGATGAGTTCTTTTATCTGGTCGAGAAAAGGAAAACAAAGCTATTAAGAAAAAAATGAAAGAGGTCAGCCACCATCCTTTCCAAAGATTACACCTTCCAAAATTTTACCCTCAACATGATACTATGACATTAATATTGAAGTTTTCAATTTTTCCGTAGCCTTCTAGTCCTACTACTATCGTTACACACATGCAAGTGAACATATTTATGCACTGTGTTAATAAGAAAAGGAAAGTACCTTTACCCCATCCTCATGGAAACCATAGCCTGAAAACAACGTATTACAGTATCACGAATGAGTCAGTAACTACTAGATAACGAACCATTTACAAATGGATAAAGAAAATGCTACTGAGGTTCTTCTAAACAGTTGACAAAAAACAGCCCCGAGTCATACAGAGTAAATTGTCATGACAGCTTTAAAATTCAAATCATGATATCTCTTTATACAAAAAACTTGCAAATACTCTCATGAAATCGATATACACTTTTTCCCAACACCACCAAGATTTTTCTGATTTGTCATTACATACTACCCTCGTACTGAGACAACAGAATTTACTCGAAAGGTACTATACCGATGCAACAAAATTGGGGTTTAGAAGAGCTTTCTTCTTGTCTTTTATATCGTAAAAACAATAGCTTACCCTGGTATGCTCCACAAAACCATATTCCTCTCTGCCCTTGAATGTGGTCAAGCTCAAGTGAAGCTTTTGATGCAGCAACTGACGGGACAGGATGCCCAGTAGACCACTTTAGCAAGGTATGTTCGGGTGTGTGAGATGGATTAAGGGTTACCAGATAAGGTAAGCTTGTCTGATCAATATTCTGGATGTACAGAAATGTTATAGAACACTTAACCAAATTGCAGAAAAAAAAAACACATTTTAGGTACGTATACGTTTAAGAACAATTTCATGAAAACAATGAATAAGAGAATGAACCATGATCAAGTTGCTACATATCGAGAAAGCTTATATATTGTTTAATCCATTGAATTGATACTATTCTGAATTGTTTAACTTCCTAAGTCTGGCATAGATCATAACCTTATGATAACTACCAAGTTCCAGAAAATATGATAAACAAAAACACATAGATCTCTTTTGTATCCACCTATGTAAAACTCCAACTGAAGGAAGAAGATTTGTTACAAACCTGGAGCACATTGAGCCAGTATGTCAGGCATACATTGTTATCAATGGTTCCAAGAAAATTCCATGCACTCCATGCTGCTGGATTTTTGGGCATTAAATTTTTGTCACGATGAAGGAAAATATCACTGCCATAAGAGTCGAAGAATGATTGTGCATATTCACATATAAATCAAAGGAGAACACTCACATAACTGTTGACAACTCATTTCCCAAAAAAAAAAAAAAAAGAATTATTTATGGAATACATGATGTTTAGAATTATTATATAGTTCTTATGTACTCCAGTATTCAAGAAGACTACACATATTATAGCTTCTCGAGATAGAAATCACAAACTTCGATCAAAACAGTGTAGAGAAAGTATTCAATGATATTACATCTTTAATTTGGTTAACTCTATTTATGCTGATTCAGTTGAATATCAGTTTGGTAGTCAATTAAAGAATGAATGACAATAACAAAAGATTGGCACAAGTTAAGATAAAGCCTGTCATCACAAATGGATTTTCAAAGATGGTTTTTTGCAAAAGTCTGGGTTAGACATGAAAGGTACTTGGTTGTGAGCAGATCATCTCTTAATAGCCCTTCGTGCTAGAATATGTTCGAAACTTGAGGTAAGCAAGAAGAGAACAAATTGACTGAAGAAAAGATAAGTCCCTTCAAGTACCTTTATACATAAAGTAGGCAAATACGTATAAATCAAAGAAACATTCATGTTTCATTTTATGAATTTCAGATAGATATTTCTTGTCAATAGCGGTAAGTTAAAGAAAGATAATAAGACACAACTGACTAATAAACGGGGTAGGAAAGACAGTACCTGTAAACATAGTTGAAAGCACCGAGTACTCTCAATTCATCATATGTTGCCTGTTTTCCTAATATTTTCAGAGCATCAGGGGCATGCATAGCCATTATGCACCCATCATAGCTCTCTTGTGAACCATCTTCACAAATTATGATGCAACCTGCTCAAACTCTTCCACAGTTAGAAATAGAATCACATTATTGTTTTTTTCATTTAATGCTCAATATGATGAAATTTTATAGAATTCTCTCTGTTTTGACATGTATTTTACAGCCAAATTATTACTGACAATAAGTTGACTATTTTCTATGTCCCATGTCTTGCCATGATGTGGAAGCCAAAACAGGAACATTTTTCTTTGGTAAATTTGTTCCTTGATCCAATTTCATTTGTTTCTCTGTTCCTTGGCATACCTTTGCTTTAAATATTGGCTTGAGTGCTTAAGTTTGTGTGAGTTACTATGACAACCGAAGGGAAATATTTTACTTGGTATTCTTATCGTCTTTTGCAATATATCCCTAGTTTTTTTAGGCTTTTACTTGTTTCTATCTATCTTGCAGCCGTCTCACCTGAAATTTGATGACGATACAATTTTGTCATAAGTAGATAATCCTAATAATGTTTTCATTCGACATGAGAAGAAGCGACAACAATAGAACAATTGCAAAAAGAAAAGATTGTGACTGTAATTACTTACTCCCATCAACTGTTGAAACCGAATGCACCTCACAACCACTCCTTATTTGGCAACCTCTACTCTCGAGTTCTTGTCTAACCTGTTTTGTGATCTCATAAACTTGATTATATCTAGAATTAAATTTTCATGACAATAAAGGACCTTAATATTGATGTTGCTATTAGGTTTGCATAAAAAAATTTGATGGTATGCAAGAAATGCTAAAATCACCTTGTAAACGTAACTATGGGAACGCCATCTCACGGTGAGCCATTGAGGACGACCAAAGAGCTGCGACAAAAATTCAAAACAAAATTATTCAGACATCAGTTACTTAATGAGAATACAAAATTAAGATTGCTCATCAGCTACACCTAGACTGCTGCAAAAATTAGGATATCACTGTCTGAGAGTGGTTATAAAGGAATGTACCTGAAGTAGATGGTGATTACGGCAAAATGAGAGAACAGAATAAGCAGAAAAGCTCAATACACCTTCCAAAGGGCAGGACCATATTGAAGCACATATCGGAACCTGCAGAATTTTTTTTATCATATGTTGCCACTAGTTAATGAGCAATTGATTGAACCACATAAAAGCTCAAGGATGTTGCAAAATACAATGTTTCAACAGTCTCACAAGATAAGCCCTCTGAAATAACTCAGAGTAACTGCGTGACTTGATGAAATGCCCCAGTGTTTCATTGCGATCAATATCTGGGTTGTTCTCGAGCTCTTCAAGGTATCTGCAATAATCATCACATGGCAATTAACTATCAATCAGTCCATCCTTAAGGGTTAAAGGTGTCTTCCGGAATTGAACCTCTGTCAAAGTAATTCAATATCCATGAAATCACCATCACCCTCAACATTATCTAGAATATCGTTTGCTACAATAAAAATCTCACTTTATAAACTTTACGAGTATGCTTTCTTCCTTTGAATTGTTTCTTTTTTCAAGTGTTAAAAAGGAGTTGAAAGCCTAAAAAGCCAGATATAAACCATTAACCAAGATGGTGTTTGAGTGTAATGCTTACGTTAGAACATCATCTTTGAACCTCACAATTTCTCGAATCATTTTCCAGAAGTACGGATTCATTGCATTCTTCTTCTGTGCAAACAAACTTGATAAACCATTTCGGCTACCCCACTCACAGCCCTGACCTTTTTCTAAGCTCACTGAGAATGACATATCAGAGACCTCCATATCGACTCCAAGACTCTCAAAGAACTCCATCATGTTTGGATATGTAACCTGTCCAATGATCCAGCATTTCCTCAGTCAAACAACTCAAACATCATTAGTTATTAGTAATCAACACGCTGACACAAATAATGCTTGCCTGAATATTGTTCAAATCCAAAGGTATTGAAAAATTATCTGGAGGTAACGTAGACTTGTATCACTTCTGTTTACTATAGTAGTGTTGCATTGTTTATGTACTTGTAGCATCCTCTTCTATTTGCCTAAACTGCCTTACATAAACCGGGAAGATGGAAAAAAAAACAGAGATTGCAAAGAACCGATACGTTTGAGAACATTAAGAAAGCATATAACATTAAGAAAGCATATAACAATGGTGATTTTATCTTCTTCTTGTTTGTAAATTGTGATCTTAATTTCATAAGTTGAGAAAATAAATTTGATGATAAGTTGAAGAGTAGTACTATTGGTCTGGCATGCAAGGTGTTTGATAGAAAGTTTATTTGTAGTCAAAGACAATCAAACACACAGACAAAACATAGAATTCTAAACAAGGAGGAGGAATCAACTCCATCATATAGGTTCTATCTTCTTCTTTTTTTTTTTCATCATACTGCAGTCGCAAAAGTTTAAGATATGTTCAAAATTTATACGTAATTTTATCTAGTGTTTGACAATATACAACATAAACGTTGGATAATAGTTATTTAATCCAACTGGTTGTTTGATTAGAAAATTATTTTATCGTATTAATGTTGAATTAATAAAAATATCCTCAATTAGTGTTTGCTACATTGATGACAATTTAATTTTATCAGTTAGGGAGTTATAATAATAAATGCGTAAAATAATATGTTTAAGTTATATTATAATACCACCTCTTTTGGTGGTATAAAAATACCTCTAATACAGGTTTATTGTATAAAAAATATACGATAAATATACGATTAGTATACGTTTTCAAAATTAATATGATATCAAATTTATACGGTATCAAATTTGTTTACCAAACAAAGTATTAGACCCGATTAAATAAAAAATTGTACAATCTAATATTTAATCCTCTCATAATACGTCTACCAAACGAGCCCATAGTAATTTGTTACACAACTAATTACGACAAGACAGCCAAAAGAAAAAAGGCAAAAAGATTAACTTCAATCGTGGATGATGGATCCTAAAAAGAAATCGTGCTAAAATAAACTTTTGATCAGCCAAAATATCTACCAAGCAAGTGTTAAAATCTAACAAAAGAGGAGAGCAAATCACAGTTCAGTAACTAGATGTAGTGGAGCCTTGTCCAATCCATCGCAAATACCACAAAAATAGTAAAAAGTTACCATAACGGTGATCAAAATATCTATAAAGTTAATAAATAACGTACGAGAATTTGTTTTTGGGTACAGTAGACTTGTCCTAAGTATGAAAAATTATTTCTACAGCAAAAGGCCAAAAAAAAAAAAAAACAGATCTGATTGATACCAAGGGGACCACTGCCTGCCTGCCATTTCCCAGAAATAAAACAGAAGGACAAGTGGACCATGCTGGTTCCGTAGCTCAATGTAATTCAAAGAACAACAGCTTAGGTTTCACCCAAATAAAATATAAAAAATAAAGGAAAAATTATACTTTAACCCTCTTAAGTCTTAACTATAAGCTCGATTTCACATTTTCCCCTAAATTACTTGAATTATTTTACATTACTCCAAAATGTGAATGTGCGTTATGCTTTTGGACATCGTCAATATGTCGGTGTAAAATGAAAAAATTACACTGTTCAGAGAGAAAAATAAAATAATTTTTTGTCAAATTTGTACCAGACGTTAATTATTGGGCTAATGTGAACCTAATCATATAGTTAAACATGCAATGTGAAAAAACGTACTTTTTAGGGAAACAATGAAAAAAGTAATAGTTAAGGGGGTGAAAGTATAATTTTTCCAAAAGATAAAAAAATGAGAATAATAGTCTTACTTTTTAATAGTTTATTTATTTATTTTGCCATTATTCTTGTAGATTGCGGAGTCATGTGACTATTAAAAAATTCCCTGCAAAGTGCAAACCTATAAGTGAAAAACCACAAATTATAGAAATATATCATTTTTTTCTCATCGTTAGGGGTGACTATGTCTTGAAGTTCTCGGCCACTGTTGAATGTTTTGTTTGAATCATAGCTGTTAATATGAGATGTTCAAACCCATCACTACATCAACACCGACGATAAACTGGACATTCAACCCCTCCAATAACATTTGGTTCATAAAGATTATTACACCGATACTGGTTCGAATCCATGACCACCGAAGGAGGGCGAGACTTTTCCCCTCTGATATTTACTATCTTATTCCATTTATATGAGATTACTATCTTTTTCCATTTTTTTTTTGTACTTCAATCAGATTGGGGCAAGATTTAAAGTGTTGAAGTTAAAATGCAAGGTATTTAAGAAGTTGTTGGTCAAAACAATGACTTAGAGTTAATAATGAAGTACTTACTCGGTTAAAGACCATAAAACCAAGGTCTAAATCAACACCATCGACCGTAACAGTCTTGGCATGGCCCCCTAGGTACTCTTCTTTCTCGTACACCACCACATTGACGCCGGCTTTTGCAAGAACGTAGGCCGAAACTAGTCCGCTGATGCCGGCTCCGATCACCGCCACCCTCATCTCTCACCCTTTAATGCTGCATTCATTCACAAGTGGAAGATCAAGTTCACCATTTCGTTAACTACGAGATGTCGATTGTTTTAGAACATCCAACTAATCTTCCCCGAACACGTTTATACTTATAGTTTTGTTCTTAAACCAAGTATGAACGTTAAAATATTTTAACTACATGAGTTTGTGTGTCTGTTTTTTGTCTGTGCGTTTGTGTTTGTGTTTGTGTGTGTGAGAGAGAGAGAGAGAGTGAGAGAGAGAGAGAGAGAGAGCGAAAAGGGGTTGAGTTTACCTTAGTGGCTGCTAGACTTCGGAAGTTCTTGTTGCAGATCCAAAACAAGCAGAAAAAATGGCTCAATCAAATGGCATTTCCTGAAGAAGACTAACTGCTTCCCAGAATCAAACAACTTTACAGATTCCACCAATCACTAAACTGAGCCCTCTCTCTCTCTGAAAAAAACACACAGACACACACCCTCTATCTGCCAGATTCTCTCTCTACTCTATCCTCCAATTGGAAGAACAAATAATGTAGATTTTTCCGACACGAAGAGACACTATCTCGCATAAGAATAAAAAGGGAAAAGAAAGGCCACGACTCTACCCTCTGATCTCACAATGAATAGAGATACATGAAGACCCATATGAGTCCATATCCATTATGGGTCTTGGTACTTGGTGTTGGTAGGTGCGCACTGTTTATTATACTCATCTTTAAGGACCTTGTAATAATAATAACAATAATAATTTGATTGTCCAACACATTGGTCTCTTCGTAGAGCAATGTTAACATGAATTTAAAAAATAAATTTAAAAACTACACTTGATAATCTCAACCATTGAATAGGTAGTGGGTCACAATAAATGTTGAGATCTACAGTGAAATCAATGATTGAGATTATCAAGTCTATTTTTTAAATCCATGTAACATTACTCCTCTTCGTAACTTTGCACATTTATCATTTCTAAATAAAGTTAATGACACAATTCCTTTTGGACCATGGATAGTGGAGCATTTGAATTATCCACCATTGATAGGGTCCCCTATGGTTGCCCCATATTGTTGTTGAAGAAGTAGAAAAATGATAGGAGTTAGGATTTGAACCATATTGTCATCCCTAAAGTCGTGGGAGAAGTAAGTTGTAGTCACTAGGGAGTTTTAATTGCATTTTGGAAAGGTTGCTTCCTAGATACGAATTCACAAAATATCGTTTCAATGATTGAACATTTATCATGGTATTACGTGTGTATTATTTATTATATTTTGTATCTTGGACCAAATGGTATTAATAATTTGATTTATGAAGTAATAATATTGTTGACACCCCCTTAGTACGTCCACATCTCTTCTATCACCCGATATAACACAATTAGAATCAGAAAATGGGGTGAGCTTATTGCATAGATGCTTTCACAAGTTATTAGTTCTGCACTTGGCTATCCAATGTTTTGTGTGGGCATGATAACTAGTACACTAGAGGTGTATTCTTCCTGATCTTCTCGTACTAGGGAAATGTCTTTTCAAGGCTCTAACGTCCCCATTGGATATGAACTAAATTGTATTATGACATTTTAAACTTAGCTCATATACCATTTTAATGGGCAAACATAGCAACCCTCTGAACATATTACAACTTAGGTGGCAAAGACATGATATCAAGGTGTCAAATATTTTCGTCAATGTAAGCTCTTGAGGAATATCAACTTCTTATACCTAGAGTAACTTTTATTAATTGAGTTAGGACCCTTCCACATGGCACTGTGGATCACTAAGTCCAACTTTCATCCCTCCTTAACTAGCTTTGCAATAAGAACAGGCATGAATAAGAGATTAGGCTTTTCCCTGTTGTTTAATATCCCATCCACGTAGTAGTTCTTCTGAATTTTGAATAGTATTCAAAGTTCTTTATTCAATTATCTCAAACGGTTGTTATATAGAACACGTATTTGATAATTGAACATAAAAAACCTATTTCTAGTCCTTTATAGAGAGTGAGGGCCCCTTTCTTTTCAGAATCTCATTTTTTTATGATAGGTATTGCGAATATTAGACCCATATTAATGTAATCGCTAGGGTCGTGGAAGAAGTAAGTTGTATGCAAGCTTTTCAATATATTGTTTGGATGAAATAACACTTACAATGATTTCATATGCAACCTTATTATTGTCAAAGCTAAACAATTGAAAAGAATACAACAAGCAGTCCAATGTACCGTTTATTTGTTTTAGTTCTTTGGACTTCTGCTTTTGTGTTTTCCATGGTGTTTTATTGTTCTTAGGTTTATTTTCGTTTACTTTTGTAAGCACTTTCACATGTACATAAGCTAACTTTAATTATATATAGAATTTCCTCCAAATTTGTTACTCTCCTCTGATTAGAGTATTTTAATAAAAAAAATATTTTATGAGAGAAACTCAATCTTGCATCGACTAATTTTTTAAAAGAACTTGAGTTTATACATTGGAGACTACTCTAGTAAGGCCTTTGTACACTATGCATCTGAATCTTACCGTTAAATAAGATAACTTTTCATCTAATAATTATAATGAATTAAGTTTATAAATTATGTATAAGTAATATTTTTCATACTTTAAACGAAAGAAAATGAAAATAAATCCAAGTAGAAATGGGACCACCATGCAAAACCTCCAATCAGAAGCATTTGACAAACACAGAAAAAGGAGAAAAAGATAGAGGGACTTTGACAACTGTGATTCTTAAGCTGCGGCCAGGGGTGTTTTAACCACATGTTCTCTTGCAGCTAGTTTCATTGCAACGTGGTTCATTTAGTCCCATGTATCTCTTGGACTTGGATTGCCGCTATTCCAATGCAGGGTCATGTTTGGTAGGTGTTTACGCTAACCGTAGGGTAGAAATTATGATATTTTTTTTTTGTACTCGATATTTTATAGAAGAGATTTTTGTTGGTTTATTCTATCCGATTAAAAATATTATTTTTATTTGAATTCTGTCCAAAATAATTAGGGCTGTCAATTTTCGACACACATTAACACGACACGAATCGAACATGAAATTAATGGGTCTAACACGAAATTAAATGAGTTAATGAGTTAAAACGGATCAATACGCTTAAACACAAAAAAAATTATATCGGATTCATGTCAAAATAAGATCAACTTGATTTTGACCTGATTAACCCGTATATTTTAAACGGGTTGATATGATTCGGATATGAACCCGACCTAACCCATTTTAAATCCGTTTAACCCATTTATGACAATATAGTTTATCTATTATGTAAGACTGATGTGATGTTAACATTATTATTTATTAGTTTTTGCTTCTACTATGATAATTTGTCGTATAGTTCTTAACATTATTACGACAGTATACTAGTATAGTTCTTGCTTTAATTTTTGGGTTAAAACCTGAATGCATTTTAATTCATTTCATTGATGAGATGTGATATGTTATTTATAAAAAAAATTATTTTAAATTTTGAATGAATTATTAAATGATGTATTTAATGGTAATAAACTGGTGCAGAAATAAGTTATGAATGTTAAACAAGTCTGTATTATGTGTGCTAAACAAATTAAACAGGTCAAACAGGTCAAGCTCAGGTAACGTATATTATTATATATGTGTGTGTGTGTGTGTATTTTAAAAAATGTTAAAAATATATATAGGGGGTAGGATAGGGTAGGAAGACGGAATTTTTATAAATTTTTTGCATTCCTACTCGATTTTTGTAGAATACTAAAATTTATTCCGTTGTCCTAGCTAATTTTTTGTGATAGCTTATCAATAGAATAGAATAGAGTTAAAATATTTGAATAATAAAAAATTTGAACATCCCTAATATTTGAATGGTTGTTAAGAGGAGCATTGAATTACATTTTTGTGGCCCTTCAAATCCCACTCCAATGGATTTGTATAATTTAGGGGATTTACATGTTCTTTCCATCCCAACTCATGTTTGGCATACGATCTCAGGATCATGTGAGTCCCACGGATTGTTAGCGTGGAATTGGCTAAAGTGTCTGAAGGAGTCGATACATTCTGATCATCATTTGACAATTAGACTTGGACACGTGGTAGATTGTATGTGCGAAAAAGAGTTATTTAGAATAACTCTATTATGACTGAGCAAGTAGTTAGACTATTCAAGCCGAGCTAAAATTGGTTCGATCGAGTAGAGGACAAGATCTGATCGAGCAGATAACTAGGCTATTTGGGCCAAGCTAAAATTGGTCCAATTAAGCAGATAACTAGGCTATCCCGATCGAGCTAAAATTTGTCTAACCGAGTAAATAGCTAGGCTATCCCAATCGAGCTAAAATTGGTTTGACTAAACAAATAGGTAGGCTATCCCAGCCGACCTAAACTTAGTCCGGTCGAGTAGAGGATAAGATTCGACTAAACAAATACCCGAAAAGTCAGAGATAGTGCTAGGCGACCAATGAGGAAATTGCCTAAATTATAGGAACACATAATTAACATGTGACCTAAATCAACTAAAGAGAAAGGAAACCCTATAAGGGTCAAACATGAATTAAGTAATGAATGATTGAAATTTAGGTGTGCCACCATATTCTAAGGAGGATGGTAGTCTTGGATAATCAGGGATAGGTCCCCTATAAATACCAGTAAAGCTTCAGTCTAACGTACGGTGATTTTCTCTAGTAAATTGAATATATTCTCTTGTGTCATTACTTATTTAAGTATCAGAGTACCTTCGGCCGGTACCCCACTGGTCTATGGCTGCTTGTTCGTTTTGCAGGCCAAAGATGATCAAGAGTACTCATCTCAAACAAATATGTATTTTTGATAGGTACAGATTTGCCCCCTACAATTGGCGCCGTCTGTGAGAAACGATGATCAAGTTCCTTGAAATATAGATATATAAGTACTCGATCGATCTTGCTCTACAATAGAATGAACATTGTCAATAGATTTGTGTGTGCAACAATCGGGATTGCGAGCATAGCATACAAGGAGAACGTGCATCTGGAACATTCATCATAGTTTTCCGTATTTCTGCCTTGCGTGATGGACGCCATCTCTTGAAGCAAGAATAATTATTCGAATTCCAAAATCATAAACTGTTGGTTGTGGTATTTCTCTTCCATGGAATTTGTTTTTAGAACAAAGTTTGCTGCCCTTTATTTGGGCTTCATGTGACCAGCACAAAGAGACAAGTCTGGGACTTTTTAGTATGTCTTGGATGCCAAAGAATACTTTAAAGGTTAGTTTTACCTATAATATGAGACTAGTTAATATGTGATTGGCCTAAAATATGATACATAATGTTTTTAACATAATTGAATCATCTTGACCATATATCAAAGAAACCAAGAAGGTCAATTGTTTGATACCGTAAAAAGACCCAAGATGGTCAATTACTTGAACTGATTTAAGGTCAACTAATTAGAATTAAATGTGATGACTCCAAGAAGAATCAGAGTGTACCACTTGATTCCCAGTATAGAGGTAATGAAATTCAACATCAGATGACAAAATTAATTTTTATGGCTTATATCAATATATATACTCTGGTTTATTTCGTATGATAGAACTTATCTATCGCCTATGCCTGTATCACACTTGATACTCAATCTTTTTATGGATCCGATACATGTTCGGCATTAATCTCGCACATGGGAGATAAATTATGAAACATGGTGCCTTTTAGATGATCTAATTTTTACAATGGTTTGTGACCAATTTTGATCCAAACACAAGGAAGTACTCGACCAATAGTGTCGGCTTACGAGAAAGAGACCCAAGAGGGTCAGAACTCGATACGACAAAGAGACCCAAGAGGGTCAATTACTTAATTGATATTCAACCGAAGAGGTCAATCAATGAGAATTATATAAGATGACTATAAAGAGGGGTCCAAGTGTGCCACTTGATTCCTTGATTTCTAGTAGGCAAGACATACATAAATAAAGACTAACTCTCTACCAAATCGGTGGTTTTGGTATTGAACCAAGTACTCAAAGGCTGCAGGAGAAATCAGTGGAGTATGGCTCCCTCGTTAGTGAGTAATCAATACCGCAAAGATGGTTGTGATCAAAATCTATTATGCATTAGACATCTATTGAGATAAAAGGAAGTTGAATCTCTTCATATAAGCCCTACATAGCCGCCCCATGGTATGAGAATCCTTTGACTTTGCTTTGCATATTTGGCATGCTCCTAATCTGAGGAGTGTACATATGTGTGGTAAATGTGTGACACCCATAATCTGACATGCTTTGATGGGTAAGAGATCTAAGAGAAAAATATGAATTTTTTCGGAGATAATTTGATTGTCATGATATTTTATTTTTTCCATTTTGCTATATTATGTTTCGGAGATAACTCTATTATTTATGCTATAAATAATGACACATGGAGTCTTTGAGATGATCCAATTTTTACGATGGAGTTGGCCAATGAGAAAGAGATCCAAGAAGACAAAAAATCGATATGACAAAGATCCAAGAGGATCAATTACTTGATACTGAAAGAAATTCAAGAGAGTCAATTTCTTGATATTCGACTTGAAGTGTCAACCAATAAGAATTAAATTTTATGAATTTGAGGCGAGTTAGAGTGTACCACTCAATTCCTAATATGAAGGATCTACATGAGTAGAAATTAACTCTCTATGGACATTGGTGAGACCCAAGAATTTGGCCACACTTGATCTCGTTGGAAGTAAGCAGCATCCATTGTCGGTGTAGTCTGCCACTATGCCCGATGAGCATTGGCTTAAGATCAAGCTTCTCCTAAGTGGAATATTACTCAAGTTACAAATTTGTGGAGATATCTTGTTATGATGGTTCAACATTTCCAAATAAACTCTCTTGTGGCCTCAAGAGTCGAAAGGGTCTTCTCTTAGCCCATCGGATTATGAACTATGAAGAATTCTTAGAAAGCATTGGTTTGATTATCTATTTGAGCTTACATCAAACATGGATTATGAGTCAGAATCTCATAACAGATTTATGAAAGCTATCTGCTTATCGTGATGACGAAGGAGGTCAATCAATTAGAAAAAGACACCTAAGGGCTACAATATTTGATACGACAAAGTGATCAAAGATGCTGAGAAGTATGATACGGGCATGACTTATCTCGACTTCATCAAGAAATTATTCTATCCGAGAGGTAATCTTACTAAACACGCACACAACGATTAATTATGTGATACTTGATAAAGAGATCCAAGAAGGTTAATTACTTAATTGATATTTGGCCCTGAGACTAAAAAATATTTTTAGTTAAAAAGGAGTAGATTGTGGAATCAGAGTGTACCACTCGATTGATATAGTCATTAATCTTGCTGAATAACTATTCCAGAGAAAGAGAAAGTATTTACTACAAGTATTCTTCACCCATACGCCACGTGACAAACACATCCAGATGGACATGCTGTCACCCAAATGTCATTCAAGCACTTTGAGATGACAACAACAAAAGAGATAAGTGTTCACTAGCCGGACCCACGTGGCTTTCATGTTATGTATGAATATCTTAAGCCTGTTGTGTTCCTTTACGTTTTTAAGCATACATTGAAGAATTAGTCCGTAAATATGGTTACAAGGGTGGTGAGTCAGCATATGGTTTGAGGCATAAGACGCTTTGTTGGGTCATGGACAGACAAATATTCATTCTAGGTTAGATGACGAAGTCGGTATTTGAGACACAATCAGATAAAGTTCCTCCTAAGCGTCATGAACATCCTTTTCTTATACTTCTCAAAATCAAAATATTATTTGTTCAAGAAACTTGCAAAATCATGGGAACAAGGAAGAATGCTCCTAAAATATTTATTACCTTGTTACCACCGGAATTCTTTTGGTATTTAACTTGACCACCGAGAAATGTTTGTAAGACCCACCATGAATCGTGAACTTTGCTCTTGGCAAGGACTTTTCTTGTATTGCAGAGTAACCAAGATCATAGCTTGTCCGTATATGTCAAAGTTTTAGAGACTACCTTGAATAAAGCAAAAAAAGTGAAAACTTAGTGGAGTTTTGGCAACCTGAGTTGTTTCCACAAGAGGTCAACAAGAAGGAGATGGCGCAATTAACCATGGACAGTGTAAACATATATCGAACAAGCTGTTTGCGTCATCCTAATTGGAATTCCACAGTTAGTATCCTCAAGGAACAGAATGGAGCCACTGCACGTTCTCGATCACACAGTGGTAGTTGATACTTGATCATCTTGGTTCAAAGTTAATCGGCTCCATCCACAAGTTCAGTGAAGCCTCGGTGGCTCCCTTAACTATTGAGTCTTTCATAGCAAATCAACTCTACCAACAAGATTCGATTAGGGCAGCCATAAGTCATACAAGTTTTTGCTCATCCAATGGAATCATCAATTGGAAAAAGCTGTTAACATTGACTCGAGTTCAATGCCAAGGAAACATCAAAGAGGTAGTCTTTTGTGGATTAATTACACATACTATAAAAGCACAGGCAGTAGATCGAGCGCGTGCAGCTGTTACAATGCACGGGACATGTCTTTGTCCTAACACTACTTCTGATATCGGTGCTATGAGGACGCCTAGAATCTAAATTTTTTATTATATATTCTTCCCTCGACCTCTAATGAGGGCTCACTTGGTCACCTTCATGGACCCACTGTCTCAAGACGACAACGGCAGTCTTAAAGGACTTATTAGTGCCTTTGTCTTCAATCCTCAGGTTTATTGGTTTTGTACCCACTGAAGGACAATTTCCACATCTTCGCATGATGCTCATACCACATACAAACCAGCGTATCAATAAAAAAAGATTGCCCTATTCGAAGTCAAAAAGAAATCATGAACTACCCTCGGACACCCTTTGCACGACCTTTCTATCACTGGATATCCATTGAACAAATATGGGTGCTTTTTATGAAGCAGCTCGATGGGCCTATGAATGGTGGTCGGTTTATCACAAGGGGTGCTTGCAACAAGATTTTTAGTAACCAAAAAGCATGTTCTACTGCCAAAACTAGTCCTGTGAAAGAACCATCGAGGCATTTGGACGAGCACCAATGGCGTGCCTCTGGTGCTAGTGTCCATGACTTCCGTTAGTCCTCAAACACCTTTCAAGGCATCCAAAAACTCTTACACCAACGCCAACAACTGGAGATAGGTCGAGAGGACATCTAGACTAGAGGAGGAGGTCGAAAGATCAAAGACAAATAGGTAATCATTGAACTACAAAGAGCACACAGATTTAGTATCAAATTATTCACACACGAACTTCATACCAAATAAATAGTGTACTTCGGCTCATGGCGAAAGTTTAACATGATAGACGACACGAACCCGAGCAATCATGATTCCATCGTTGATGTTGAAGAATTTTTTGTGAGGCTTTGTGTTACACACACACTTATAGCTACTTGAATTATTATCTACCACAAAAGTTAGTTGACATGGTGGCCGAGATCCTCAAGTATGGCAAAATTAAGGGATGGGTCGAACCGTGCTCAACCCCTCTATTTGGACCAACCAATTGATACAAGCCAAAATAAGAATCATCATCCTTTTATAAATGATATGCTTGAGCTCTTGAGTTGAGATCACTGATGCCATATCACTTCAAGGAAGTACCTCCCACGGATAAATAAGACTAAGCTTTAGAGTTGATGATGGGTATCTGAGCACGAGCTCAACATGAGGCATAGAGCTCGGTAGTTCAAATCAGTGCCAGCTCACCGGCCCTCTACCTCGGCAGAATCCAATTACTCCACAAATGACCAATCCAGCTCAACCTAGGACTTCCATGTGGCCAAGGAGTCTACCTCTACTCCACTACTGGATATCCAGGATTCACTCCAATCCAAATAAAGGATAAACAACCCAACGACATGATCATTGCCTATGAAAAGGGAGCTGTGGAAATCAAAAAGGTAAGCAATCCTAACTCTAATATGATATTTAGTGTAGAAGCAAAAAATTGATAACACCTCTAACACTCAATTCGTGAAGTAACTTTCTGAAAAAGAATTTTGAACTATCTCCAAATCTTCTTCCTGCAAAATGAACAAACTACCCAAGATCGAAATGCTTCGATCGAAGGCACTCCGATGCTTAAGTCAGTAATAGAACGAGAAGAATTGCACGAAGGCAAGGAGAGTTCAGCGTACCTTTCACCTTGGCTTCCTCTGCCTTTTATAGATCATTATTCCATTAGAGTTTCCATGACTTTCGGTTCAAGGTGGCACACCTTCCTTCATTTCATTCAGTATTTGTNCTTCCTCTGCCTTTTATAGATCATTATTCCATTAGGGTTTCCATGACTTTCGGTTCAAGGTGGCACACCTTCCTTTCATTCAGTATTTGAGTTTTGGAAGGTTTCTAATTTTTCTCCAACAATTTCTCATCATATCTTCAATCTCGTTGATTTCGTTTATCTGATTGCCTAAGTTTTATACAAGTCTTTAACTTTCCTTCTACCATTGCGAACTGCTCGGGCATTCCGAATTCTGAGCTTGATTAACGTTTGCCGAACTGTTTGGAAACTTAGTTTGGTACAAACCGCGCATTCTAGAANGTCTTTAACTTTCCTTCTACCACTGCGAACTGCTCGGGCATTCCGAATGCCAAGCTCGATTAACGTTTGCGAACTGTTTGGAAACTTAGTTTGGTACAAACCGCGCATTCTAGAGAATTTGTCTTGGTACAAGCCGAGCACTTTCCTGGCTTTGCTGAACGGATTCATGAGCTAGCTAGGCATGAGAACCGAACTCTTTAATCTTCTTGCCGAACCCTTTATTCTGTTCAGCTCGGATTAAATGACGGGGTGGATGACTTCCTCCTCACGTGATCAGTCTTGTCAATCTCTCGTGAGCCCATTTAATGCTCTAACACGTGTAATCACGAGGATTAGCCCCTTCATTCAGTCTCCTCATTCATTTTTCTGACTGAAGTATTGAAGATCGACCCTTGGAGCCCTTTTAGTCTTCGACTTTGCATTGCAAGAGCTTCCCTTGGGTGGAAGCCAATAATCATCCTTGGAGATTAATAGTCAATTTCTGGCATCAATAAGAGTTAATCATTTTGTGGAGTACCTGCCACATGAAAGATGCCTAACAATGGAGTACCTCCTGTAAATGAATAAGATTGAGCTTTAGAGCTAACCTTTGTGGAGTACTTGCCACATGAAAGACATCTAGCAGTAGAGTACCTCCCGCGAAGTGGTAAGATTGAGCTTCAAAGCTAATTTTTTGTGGAGTACCTGCCACTGAAAGACCCGAGAAGGCTCGAGCATAAGATAACCTATTGCTAAGGCAAGGAGGAAAAAATCCCGACAGAGGCAAGGACCTAGCTCAGGTGCAGTCATCCGATCAAACTTAGGCCCACGGTTAGGCACGACAGTATAAGCCAAACGGGTAAAGTTTGAAGATTGATTAGATTGACAGATCAGTGTAAGGGTCACAATAAGTGACCAAGAACTGATGCCCGAACCCTTCAAAGAGGCAGGTCTTCTTGGCTAGGGGAAGGGGGCCATGATTGAAATTTTTAGTTTTGAACTCCCTAACCCTTCATTTAGGTAAGACCGCTTTGCTAGGGAAAAAGGACTCAAAACACGTCTTTTCATAAGGAATAATACAAGACAATTAAAAAGAGAGGATTGTAAATAAAGAATATTTTTCAGTGTGCCACGTGAAAAATATTTTCTGGGGGCAAGTGAAGGGGTCAATAAATTCTGATCATCATCTGACAATTAGACTTGGACACATGACAGGTTGTATGTGCTGAAAAAGTTATTTGGAATAACTCTACTATGACCGAGCAAGTAGTTAGGCTATTCAAGTCGAGCTAAAATTGGTCTGACCGAGCAGAGGACAAGATCCAACCGAGCAAATAGCTCGACTATTCAGGCCGAGCTAAAATTGGACCGACCGAGCAGAGGACAAGATCTGACCGAGCAGATCGCTAGGCTACCCCGGTCGAGCTAAAATTGGTCTGATCGAGCAAATAGCTAGGCTATCCCGGCCAACCTAAACTTAGTCCGATCGAGCAGAGGATAATCTGACTAAGCAAATACTTGAAAAGTCAGAGATGGTGCTAGGTGACCAATGAGGAAATTGCCTAAATTATAGGAACACATAATTTTTTTTTTTTTTGATACTTAGGAACACATAATTAACATGTGAACTAAATCAACTAATGAGAAAGAAAAACCTATAAGGGTCAAATATGAATTAAGGAATGAATGATTGAAATTTTGGTGTGCCACCATATTCTAAGGAGGATGGTAGTCCTAGATAATCAGGGACAGGCTCCCTATAGATACTGATAAAACTTCAGTCTAAGGAATGGTGACTTTCTCTAGTAAATTAAATATATTCTATTGTGTCATTACTGACTTAAGTATCAGAGTACCTTTAGTTGATATTCCACTAGTCTATGGCAATTTGTTCGTTTTGTAGATCAAAAACGATCATAAGTATTCATCTCAAACAAATCTATATTTTTGATAGGTGCAAATTTTCCCCCGTATAGTGTCCATTGTCTGACAACAATCTATTCTCATGTTTAGGGATAAAGTAATATTTTTTCGTACAAATCCAGTCTGTCCACTCTTGAAAACCCCTCTTCCCAGGGCTTTTATGAAACCTTCCTATGTGGGTTGGTTGAAACTCTTTAAGTCGGGTCGGGACATAGATAAGCTCAAACTCACGGGTCTGCAGAGATGCCAACCAAACAAAAAATAAGTCATTTTGTTTGACTTTTCTTTTATCTTCCAAAATTCAACCATTTTATCCCAGTTAAACTTATGAAACTGGCGGGACTCTAGGTGGTTCTTCAGCCCCCGGGTTGACACGTGGAATAATGAAGCCGTTGGGATGTCCAAAGGGTGTCGAGGAGATAAGCCGAGGTATGGTGACACGGAGCATCCGAGTACGACAACTGACATCCTATTCAATGCGATGTGACCCCACATTTATGACATGATGAGTGATAATGACAAGGCAAATAAATGCGCACTGCCAGCACCTGCCCTGTGGGAGTCTAAGGCTACTGTCATGATGACTAAGCATTAATGGATGATGCACCGAGATGACGCGAGCGGATCTCCCGAGGAATTGTTTCCCCCAAGTATTCAATGCTCAGTTGATGTCAGATGCCGATCTAGGGGATTTGGGTACTTGGGGAGTGACATGAATGCTCGGCACATGGCCGAGCATTTACCCCATTTTCCTAGCATTCAATAGGAGANTATTCAATGCTCAGTTGATGTCAGATGCCGATCTAGGGGATTTGGGTACTCGGGGAATGACATAAATGCTCAGCACATGGCCGAGCATTTACCCCATTTTCCTAGCATTCAATAGGAGACGTGAATAGAAAACACTTATTGCACAAAGACTGGTGTGTCAGATGTGAGGTGTCCAGATGAGACTGGGGATCTTTGGCAATAATTGCTAATTCAGGTATAAATACTCTTTAGAAAAATGGACAAGGGACGCTAACTCGAACTAGAAAAATAGTCCATTAAGCAAAATTCTTTGATCTTACACTGACTTAAGCTTCGGAGAGGATTAGCCGGACACACGCCTGACCCCCTTTTTTCTGATCCTGTTGTTTCAGGTTCGCCAATTGAAAAATCGCTGCCTCATATGGTTGCAGGAATTATCCGATGTAGAAATAAACAGGTCCTAAGAGATTATAGTGCTTTCATTCTTTTTCANATTGAAAAATCGCTGCCTCATATGGTTGCAGGAATTATCCGATGTAGAAATAAACAGGTCCTAAGAGATTATAGTGCTTTCATTCTTTTTCAGTTGTATTTGGTGTGCNGATTAGCCGGACACACGCCTGACCCCCTTTTTTCTGATCCTGTTGTTTCAGGTTCGCCAACTGGGAGATCGCTGCCTCATACGATTGTAGGAATTATCCCGTGCAATTTGGCGCCGTCTGTGGGAACAAAAGCATTTTTCCCTGTAGCGATCATCTGATGGTGAACACTCAATCTCAGGGTGAAGGAGCAGGTGTACGGGCCAGGAACGCAGAGCTCATCCGGTTTCCAATGGTTCTGGNCTGATGGTGAACACTCAATCTCAGGGTGAAGGAGCAGG